TAAATAAAAAATAAAAAAGTAACAGTTATTTTGAAAACCATTCATAATGAACAACACATTTAGGAGGTTGAATTGTTTAAAAATTACTATTAGGAGGTAGAGAATAGTGCACAGTATAAATTTAAACATTTTTTTCCAAATGGACTTTGGGTTGAATGAGTAAATTTGTATATGCTTGAACTTTCTTAAAATATGTTCACTTCATACTATATGAAAGTACATTTGTATGAATCATTAATTTAATTTCCAAAGCCCTACAGGCCCATAAATTATTTTCTCATTTTGGGGGTTGATGCAATGATAAAATGTAAATCACAGAAATTTTGTTAAATTAATCATTTAAATTGGAAAAAAAAGTAGCTTCAGCCAAATGAAATTATCTTTTAGACTAGCCTTTTATATTCGACAGATCATAATTTAAATTTTAATTTAAAAACATTTTAAAGTATCTTTAGAAAATATAGTAACTTCTCACTAAAGATTATCCTGGAATTGAGGCAATTTTTTTTCTGAGTATTGTTGGTGCTTCCATTTGTATAAGCTCCTTACATGAAAAAGTTAAGTGATAAACCTAGCCTAGTCCCATCTTAAGATTGGGAGCCATCTTGTCACAAAGTCATGAAAAGTTAATTTCTGTTTACTATAAATTACTGCAATTTCTAAACTTGCTTGGAATGCCTGCCCATGCCATGAACTCACCCATGCCTGGCTTTCCCTACCAGATAACAACCCTCTCTGAATCCTCAGCAATGCCTCAAAAATTCTGGTATTGGGATCTAAATTTACTTTCTAACTTGAAATGTTGAATCAATTACATCATTAACGTACTATCTGCCTTTGTATTATGCTTGTCAAAATCCTGTTATCTGTAAGTTCTCAAGACACCCCCTTCTGCAACTTTTTATGCTATAAAACCACACTCCTAGAGAGATGGGGTACTGTTCTCTAGCCAAGGGTTTTTTTGGGAGAGACAGTGCTGGCCAGAATTATAAGCTTGCTTTAATTTGATTTAAAATTGGAGTCAGTTGTCTTTTCTTTGTGTTGTTGTTTAAAATTTGGAGGCCTCAGCGAGATCAGACCATAAAATTCTGAAGCTGGACCTTCGCTCTGGGACTCCAGGCTGGAATGCCACCCCAAGGGATGCACACCTTGAGACGTCCCAAGGCGCCAGGGTGTGCCTTCAGTTTATCAGATTGCTGAAGCGAACTGCCGCACTAAAACAATTAGCAAGCATTTGATGGAGGAGGCCTCCATATGTAAGTGGCACCCTTATAACATCTGGTATAGGGTTAAGAGAGATCTCTTCTGGGGACAGAGAGGTGCCTGGCGACACACATATACTCCTGTCCAGGACAGTAGTGGAGTGTCGCTCTATCCTCTGGTGCTGATTCAGTAAGGAATTCCTCTGGAGCAAGATTTATCCTGTTTGTCACTGAGAGAAGAAGACAAAACCTAGAAATGACCACACAAGAAAATGGACCTGCTCTACCGCAAATGGCTTATCTTAGTAGGGAACTTAACATTGTAGCTTTGTTTTCAAAGGTAGTAGAAAGTAAGGTATCATAATTTTAGACATCCAAACCTGTTCAATTACTGAGAGGAAAAAAAAATGTTTAAAATGCCTTAGGCATGTTCTGCTCAGAACAGCAGTTTTCTCTAGCTCCTTCCTGACCTAAGCCAGGACTTACATTGAAGTGCAAATGGAAGCTTAGTAGGAGACCTGTCTCAGACTCTAGGAAAAAAAAAAAGTAAAAGTGCCCTTTACCTAAACCTATATTAGACTAAACCAAAAAGTAAATTATGTGATACTTTAATAATTACTTGCTGGTCATTTTTACTAGGACTCTTGTTTTTTCTTAGATTCTGTATTTTTTGAGCTCATGATTTTGATTCTATAGACTAGGTTAATGTTTTTCCAATCAGTCCTTTTATTTAATCCAACTATGGAGTTTTTAAACATTGTAATAGAGATTTCATCTGCAAAAAGCTACAAGGCCTTTGCTATTGTGTTATGTGTGCACACTTGTGTTATGTGTTGTGTGTCTATTTGTGCATATGTCCATATATCATGTACATGATACAAAAAAATTGGCAGATATATAAGGAGCACTCATAAAATTTAAAAAAGGATCCAAATACCTTTAATTCACATGATTTAAAACAGTTTAATTTAAATCAGGTAAACAGATGAAAATAAATATGTCTTTAAAATTAAACTTAACTCACAAGTCTCTCTAGATGATCAAAGAACTAATAAAATATTGATGTCTATGAAATGTCTAATATCCCTTGGTTCTAGAAATTTCTTCAACAAGGAAGAAATGCTAATACTGTTCAATATATTTGTCTGATATTGTGGTAAAATAAGTAAAGTAGATTTGACATGGGATTACTCATATTTATGAATAATTTTGTTTGTTAGACATCTAATTAATTTACAAGGTTAAAATGCTAACTGTTAAATATACCATCAAGTACTCTTAACTCCTTAAATTCCATTGGGTAACATGATTAATGTTTTCATAAGTTGGTAAATGAAAAAAAAAAAGGTTTAAAGTTGCTTTGCATCACTAAAAAAAAGGCTTTACTAAAAATTTAAAGTCCCAACAGGCATAATTCTATACACTTAAACATTGTGTTTTTAAGAAATAGTGAACAGATTTAATTCTATATACAAAGGTTTATGAAAGATTTTTATATGCAAAGGCCCAAAAGTTTCAACTGTTCCAATTAAGAGTAATGTAAACAACATAGAGTATTTCTTTTTATTAAAATGAAGTAATTTGCCTAAATTCAAAAATTTACAAGGATTTTTTCATATTATAAAAATTCTATATGAGTTGTAAAAAATATATATATACACACATATATGTAAAATGATCAGTCAAGTCTATTTAAAGTTTTCCTTAAGGTCAAATGTTCATATACTGATATAAACCAAAGTTTAATCTATATGTTAAAAAAACAAGGATTTCTTAAAACATTGATTTTACCATAACATTGTATTTATTAAGTCTTGGTTTTTTGAGCAAGTAATATTAAAGTAATTAAGGATTGTACAATTATGGTTAAAAAACAACTGTTATTTTTAAATATTATAAAATGTTATTTCCTTAAGAGCTAAACTTAATTAATATAAAAATATCAATATAATTATGGTGCTATTACTATTATTTGTATATTAAATATGTTCCACAAGTCTTTAATGCAGAAGCTTTAAAAAAACATTATATCAAACTGGTGTTCTCCAAACTAAAGTTGTATGGTAATTTTAGGCTTATAAGGATGATAAATTTATTGGAGATTTATTAGAGATTTATACCATTTAATGGTCTATAAATGGACCTGTTATCAATAAGATCTAAAGTTTTGTTACTTTTTACACTGGGGTACAATTTAAATATATGTTTAAGTTAATGAGAGCCTAATCTATGTAAAGATTAATATTGTAGAACACACACATTTTGCAACTTTTCCACAAAATGTTGAAAGCTCTCAGCCTTTTGGTAGTTCGTGTTTTAAATGTAATATCATATTGTTAACTAATATTCATGTGACCTCGAGCAACTATATATGTAAACTTTATGAAATGATTTTTAAGAAACAAAAATAAGCTTCAGAGCTAGAATACTTTACTTAAGATTTAGAAAGATTTAGAAAGAGCCCCGCCTTATCTTAGATAAGGCTCTTCCTCCCATCTTACTATATGTCAGAATGACTCCACAGCAGGCCAGACTTTAGTTCATTTAAAGTTCTATTCAAAAGATTGATTTTTTTTTAAGATTACAAGGATCTCAAATAGGGGTTATAATATAACTCAATCAAAGCTCAAGGTAGTTATTACACAAACTAAATATGTTTTTACTTTTGTTAATGTTATTTTGTATTTTCTTTATAAACTGTCTAAATGTTGCCTGTTAATGTTTTACAGAAGAATTACTTCAAGAACACACAACCTGGGTTAATTTAAGATAATAAGCCATCACTTAAAGGACAGATATGATAGCACAGACCCCAATTAATGTGAGGTTATAAATATTAAAGTTAAAGCTCAGTACTCTTAATTTAAGACTGGTGAGACTGACTTTGCTAGATGTTTAAGATCAAGACTTAAAATTAAAGTTACATTAAAAGGGACCAAGAACAAATATTTGGCTCTTGCCTTCCAAGTCAGTCTAAACCCAGAGAACAGGGAACTTCTCTAAAGAGTTTTGCAACTCTGAGCCACATAACCTCTCCATCAGGAAGATTAATGAGACCACCGAAGAACAGAAAGCCAATCGATGCACACACCACAAAGAAGAGGGTTATTGGAGAAGGGAAACATCCCTGGTGCTTCTAAGGGAAGCCACATGGTCAGCAAGACTTGGACCCAACCTAGCCCAAATGGCACTAGAAGAACTAAGTAATTGCTCTCAAGTTCCCCCAAGAGTGACTCCCATGGAAACTCAACTGACTCTTAATAATAGATAGAAAAAAAAAAGTCATTTTGACTTACATCATCTTAAACACTTAGCAAAAACAGCTAAAACCAAAACACAGCCACTCCTGGGCATTTAAAGAAAAATAATAATAGCTAAATATAACTTAAGATATATTTATTATATAATATAACACCTATGTTAGCCCCCAAAATAAGTAAGACTGTAGACTACAAAGAGAGATTATTAGGCAAGAATGCCTGATAACTATCAAAAGAAACTATCAAGAGGGACTGCCAGAGTCAGAAGTTTTTAGTTAATTTAAGGTGTACAGATATTCTTAACCTACACAGGTAGCCTTGAGGTTTGCTAGTATGATTATCAAGCCCTAAGTAACAGAAACAAAGGGTTCTCTACTGGACAGGGAGGTCATAGCAGCAAATATTTACAAGATCAGGTAACATTGAGTAGCTTAACTACATCTCATGGGGATGGACATCTGCAACATTAAAAGTTAAATGTTGTGTTTACATTCCTGATAACTCTAAAGATGTTAAAGATTTACATTCCTATATAAAGGCCTTGTCCACTCTGGCCTTATTATGGGGACAGCTTCTCAGTCTTCACACCTCCAGGTGAGAAAATATTAATTTCATGTCATCTTCACGATATTCATTGACATGTTCCAGAGGTGGCAATATTTGCTCAGTACTTATGTTTTTTGTTTCTCTTTCGTAGAAGCACCCATCTGCACAGGACTTTACAACCTGTTCTTCCCCAACCAGACTTCAATCTGATCAGAACTCCAAAGCTGCCCCAACCCCACACTGCCCCCTCTCAGCTCCAAAGAAGCCAGAATGATCGTTGCCCCTTTTTCTTACCACAGTGAAGCCAGAAATAGATAGACAGTCAATATAGATATGTAAATCGAATCAGGTCAGATAAGGCCAGTTTTGGGTGACTCCAGAAAGTTGGGGACTATTACCTGAGGTATTAAAATTCCTTCAGAGGTTTTCCTCTACCTTTCAAAGATTTGAAAGGGACACATAAGACAAGGGGGAATGATGAACCCAGACTAATTCCATGTTAAGATTGGGAGCTATCTCATCACAAAGTCGTGAAGAGTTAATTTTTGTTTTACTATAAATTACTGCAATTTGTAAACTTGCTTGGAATGGCTGCCCATGCCTTGAACTCACCCATGCCAGGCTTTCCCTGATCAGAAAGCAACCCTCTCTGAAACCTTAGTGGTGTCTCATAAATTCTGGTTTTCCCTGACCAGATAACAACCCTCTCTGAAACCTCAACATCTCCTCATAAATTCTGGTGTTGGGATCTAAATTTACTTCCTAACTTGATATGTGGAGCCATTTAGATCATTAGTCTACTATCTGCCTCTGTATTACACTTGTCAAAATCCTGTTATCTATAAGCTCTCAAGACACCCCCCTTTTGAAAATTTTTGTGCTATAAAACCATGCTCCTAGAGAGCTGGGGTACTGTTCTCTAGCCAAGCGTTTTTCGGGAATGACAGTCCTGGCCAGAATTACAAGCTTGCTTTAATTTGATTTAAAATTGGAGTCAGCAGTCTTTTCTTTGCATTGTGGTTTAACATTAAGACCAAATTTGAGTCTATGATCAAGTAGTTGAAATTATGAACATATGCAATGGAGATGGCCACCGAGTTGGATTTGATCTTAAAGATTATCATTCCTACTGACTCAAAATTTGTAATTCCATATTGCCAGTCACTAATACCAAGGTAAAAGATTTAATTCTGCCTTGTGGTCTCCAATTGGCTTCTGTGTCTATTTTGAGGGAAGGAACAGGGTCATAAAATCAACCTAACTGCTGATTAAGAGAGTCATACTTCTAGAATGAGACCTTCAGTGTTCAGGTATAAACATCAACTTTCTTACTTGTTTCATTTCAATGTATTAAGTATTATTAAAAAATTGTAAGCATTATTAAAAATTTTTTACACATTTACTGTATATGTGTGACACTATCATAGTACATAATTTGAACTAAAATTTGGAACTTTGTTTTTATTTCTGATTGGTGTTTATTGATTTTGGCATTTAAAGTTTATCTACTCTTGTTACTGATCTTTAGAAAAACAAATGTACTATAAGGCTCACTATTTAAGATATAATGAAATAAAATCTTTTTAGCTGAGAAAGCCTCTGTAATATTAAAAAAGACCTAATTCATCTTAGGTAAATTTAACACATAATGAGTTAAGTTTAGTTCTAAAAAACAGGGGCAAATTTAAATTTGCTGGTTCATGTTTTTTCTCCTATTTTAGCCTAAAGTAAATTATCTTTCATTTCTTAGTGAGACTTCAGTGATTTGGGAGTACCTAAGCACATGTTGGGAGGTTTAACAGTTAAATTATAATTATTTTCTGATTTTTCTTTGTCCATTTTTCTTTTTCTTTTTAATTTATTTAAAAATGGGTTTTTTTAAAAAAATGTCCTGACAGAAAAGAAATGTGACAAATCTAAACAAGCAAATTAATCTTCCACTTGCACATCTGCGAAATTTATCTCCATGACGAGATATGAAAGCTTATGCTAGAGAGGAGGTATCTGTTTATTCAAGTCTTCCTTACATGAGGAAATGATGACACAAGACAAGTTGTAATGGGAAAAAAATGTACAAGTCATCACAAGTGAGTTAAACCAGAAGTTCAATGAAATTGGGGAAAAAAATCAGAATTACTGTTTGCCCTGAACAAGAAACACCATTTAACTCAAAAGGATATACTCTCTAATTTTAAAAAGAAAATACTTAGTTGTGTGGAGGAAATATATTTAGAGTGTCTGTCACTGTGGTATTTGAGACAACCAGTATCTTCTAAGTTTTATTTATGTGAAAATAAAACAGAATACCAAAATAAAAAACCAAAAACTGAACATTCTTATAACACAATGAGAATTTTTATAATAATACAAAAAAAGGGATCTTTAAGTATTTACATTTGAAATGAAGGAAGACCAAGAGTTTGATATGCAAATGAAAAATATAAACCAAAATACCTCTAATTATATGAGATATTGGACATACACCTAAGTCTAGTAAAACAAAAAGCCTTGATTTGTAGCTTAAAAAGAATCAAAATGGATCAAGGACCTAGGAATTAAACCAGAGTCTCTTCGTCTAATAGAAGAAAAAAGTAGGCCCTAATCTTCATCATGTGGCATTAGGTGCCAACTTCCTTAATGAGACTCCTATAGCGCAAGAATTAAAACCAAGAATCAATAAATAAAATGGAATCAAACTAAAAAGTTTTTTCTCAGCAAAAGAAACAATCTGTGAGGTGAATAGAGAGCCTACATCCTGGGAGCAAATTTTTACCCCTCACACGTCAGATAGAGCATTAATCTCTAGGGTATATAAAGAACTCAAAAAGCTAAACACACAAAAAACAACAATAAGTATTGGCAAGGATATGGGGAAAAGGTATACTTATACATTGCTGGTGGGACTGAAAATTGATATAGCCAATATGGAAAGCAGTATGCAGATTCCTTGGAAATCCGAGAATGGAACCACCATTAGACCCAGCTATCCCTTTCCTCGGACTATACTCAAAGGACTTAAAATCAGCATACTACAGGGACACAGCCACATCAATGCTTATAGCAGCACAATTCACAATAGCTACACTGTGGAGCCAACTTGGATGCCCTTCAGTAGATGAATGGATAAAAAAAAAATGTGGCATACATACACAATGGAATTTTACTCAGCAATAAAGGAGAATAAAATCATGGCATTTGTAGGTAAATGGATGGTGTTGGAGAAGATCAGGCTAAGTGAAGTCAGCCAATCCCCCCAAAAAAACAAATGCCAAATGTTTTCTCTGATATAAGGAGCTTGACTCATAGTGGGGTAGGGAGGGGGAGCATAGGAGGAATAAATGAATTATAGATAGGGCTGAGGGGTGGGAGGGAAAAGGAGGAGGCAGGGGATCAGCAAGGATGGTAGAATGTGATGGACATCATTATCCAAAGTAGATGTATGAGGACACAAATTGGGTGTCAACCTACTTTATATACAAACAGAGATATGAAAAAATGTGGTATATATGTGTAATAAGAATTGTAATGCAAAATTTAAGTACATATATAAAGACATGAATTGGCGTGAACATACTTTATATACAAAGATATGAAAAATTGTGGTATATATGTGTAATAAGAATTGTAATGCATTCCACTGTCATGTATTTTAAAAAATAAAATCAATTAAATAAAAAAAAGAAATGAAGCACATGACTCAAATAAAACGATAACAGCTACTTATAAGAAAACAAATGCAGGACTTGTTCCAGAAGCCATTTATGATAATTGTTCTTCTTATAACTATAAAAGTATGGAACCTGAGTTATAAAATGTGATTTCTCCACCAGATAGTAACAGAATATCAAAAGGAAGACTAAAGAAAGACTTAGAGTGAATTAAGCAAAGGTTAAAGAATGAGAGTGGCATTTTACAAACAGCATTCCTGGCTTTGGAGGACAAAAAGGGTCACTTTCCAAAAGAGATAGACATTTACTTTCTGCTAATCTTGGTTTTTCTCTTTATCAATTATATTCTGATTTTCTTCTTATATAAAATGGTGTTATCCTGTGGCAGGAGCCCTCTTCAAACAAAGACAAGGTGGCATGGACAGCACCTATGGGCACATATGCAACTAAATGCAACATGGCACAGCCAGTACTGAAGTATTCAAGCACAACCCCATTAATACCACCCCCCCAACCCCCAGTGCACCTGCATAGCTCTGCCACACCCTCTTATGAATTTGTGGTATAGGAAAACCTGCAAAAATATTATTTTCCATATAGGGGAGACAAAGGGGCTAGTGTGTAGCAGGTGGAGGGAAGAAGGGGCCCAGCAGGGGCTATAAAAGGCAAAGCGCTGCTGCATTCATGAGCTCCCGTTTTTGGATGTGAGTGTGCTGAGCTCTATTCAGGCAAGAAATAAACACTGCTTCCTGTTGAATGACCTGGTGCTGTGTCTCTTTGTTATTGAATCCCTCAACAATCCAAGTTTGAAATTGTATCTAGAAGTAGATTATTTCTGCTGATCTAAATAACAGGAGTTCAAGGAAATATTCTCATAATCTTTGTTCCTTAACATGTTGAGTTTTTCTGTCAGTCTTCCAATGGCATATGAACTGGGAAACTAAAGGAGGCCTATACTATGTGACCTTCTGAACCAAGAGAAGCATAAAGGAAGGTGCTTTAAAAAAAAATGAAATAAACTCTTGACCTAAGGATAAATTGCATTTATTTAAACAATAAAATGGGAATATAATGGGAAGGAAGCCATGAATGAGAAGAGATATAAAAATGTATCTAGGTTTCAGAGATGCAACAAATATTCCCAGGAAAACAAATCCACTCATTGCGCGGCTGTGTGCCAAGTGATCTGTTTTACTCAAATGATTGGAACTTATAAATCCAACATGACCACCTTAAATATTTTGGACAGGAAATATATATACTTTCATGATTTTTTATCACCACTCAAATGTTTCTACTGAGACAGCTATTTACATTATGTTGATTTATAAAGTTTGGTAAGTTTTGGCAAAACTTGTGTTTGTTTGTTTGTTTTTCTTAATCACAGAAGTAGCATAAACCCTCAGCAAAAAAATTTGGTATTTGACTCCAAAATTGAAAGCCCAGTTTGAGGTACCTCAAGTCTTAAAGGGACACAAACATCTAGAGAGTTCCTTAAAGCTAAAAGTAAATGACTTCTCATCGCCCCTGAAAGCATCAAATGATTTTGCCAATGTCATACTTTTAATTTATCTGATTAATTTGTTGAACTTATTTGGTAATTTAT